GACCTGCCTCCATGGAGATGTTTGTGAAAGATGCTGGCTTGTTGTTGTTGTTGTTCTTGTTCAGTCGTTAAGTCATGTCTGACTCTTCATGACCCCATGAACCGCATCGCGCCAGGCCTTCCTGTCCTTCATTGCCTCCCTGAGTTTGCTCAGTTTCATGCTCATTGCTTCAGTGATGCTATCTAACCATCTCATCCTCTGCCGTCCGATTCTCATCCCATTTTGCTTGGTTGCCCTTATAATTACATCATTGATGCAATTCTCTTTCCACCACGTGCTCTACCCAACCAGAAAGAGTGGGGCCATAGTTAAGAGGTGTGGGTTTTTCATCCTAAAAGATACAAGAGGCATCTGACATGCTTGGCACAACAAAACGTGGGCTAAAAATCCCAAAATAATTCATTGAGGTCTGGACAGGCTCGGTGCCACAGAGATGGACTAATTCGGGGAAGGGGGCAGGTTTAAAAAGGAGGATGAAATGGAGTGTCCTGGAAAAGGGGCTCTTGGCAGAAAATGGTCATTCTGCAGCTCAACTCGTCAACTTTCAGTGGCACGCCAAAAGGGAAAATCAGTTTATTTTCTTTATCTGTGAGATTTATTGACCACCGCGATCCAAAACGTAGAAGGAATGCTTGTAGTTTGGCCACTTGGAAATTTCAGCACGGACAAACTCTCCGGGGGATACGAGGTCACTGACATCGCTGTGGGCCAATAATATATATTCTGGTGCCAGGTAGCCAATCTTCACTGAGAAATTAAGGAAACATCTCAGCGCTTTCCAAGCGACATCTTGAGGAGACCTCTCTAGAAAAGAAAAAGAACAGCCCAACGTTTGTTATGGAGTCACAGAAAATATCATCCTGGTCTAGAGAAGGAGAAAGATCTCTGGATGCTGGTTTAGTACAGACCAACTGGAGTGGGAGACAAACGCGTTCCTTCTTGGGTTTGTCCAGATTTCAGTAGAAGAGAATATCTGTAGCTCAGGGTTGAACTGTGGAGTCCTTGGTGCTCTTGAAGATTGGTGATTGGCTTGCAGACGTTTCATGACCCTACTAGGTCACATCACCAGTGCTAGTGAGTGTGGGGTTTGCTCCCTGTTTATAGACCGTGGCTTGTCCTGCAAGTGTATCCAGATTTTGCAGAAATAGGGGCAGCCCAGAAATGGATTTGTCTATAATTTCCAAGCTGGGGAAGCCAGAGATGCATACATTTGAAGAACGGTAATATTATTGGATGGATACATGCATTCCAGACCCAGATTAATCCAAGTGATTTTGCTTTGCTTCACTCAGGTTAGAAAATGTTCTAATCTTCAGGCATCTACACTGTGGGAGAGTGTTTTGTGGCTAGTCATGGCAACGACTTGCGTGCCATTCCTTGGAATGTATTACCAAACGATGTTTTAACTTCTGTCATGAATATTGGTAGCCCACAAGGTGCTCTGGAAGAAACCTGCCCATCCACCATTTAATGAGCCCTCCCACACAGAGCACATGCTCTAAGGGTGAGGCATTGCAGAAACTCTGCTGTCTGTGGTTATGGCTTTCTGGTATTCTGGATTAGCATGATGGGTGTTAGGACCCATTGAGGTTTTCTGGTTGCTCAACTTCTCCAAAGCTTTCTGGTCCTTCAGGGAGGGGGAAAAGGAGATGTCAGGAGGACAAGACAGAGGGCGACTCACTAAACAAGGTGTTCAGCTCATCAGGCCAAACATAACATGAGCTGAAACTCACCTAACTGCAAACAAACTATGGCTTGCACGCTACTTTGTTTAAGGTAGCCACCTTCCAGTTTCTCCCATGATGGAAAGAGAACTTGCATAGAATTATCAAGTTCTTCTCAAATTGAGAGGGCAGGCCTCTTTGGCACTTGGGGGGAAAGAAATCCAAGGCCAGAAGGTTTTGGCCATCATGGTTTAACTTGGTTTTCAATTGTATGTCAATTTTGCTTTTCATGGTGGTTTGGATTCGCTTATTTTTGTATTCTGTTCCCCTCCAAAGTCCCCTCTGATTGAGCTAGGAAGGCATGATAGAAATGTCATAAACAAATAATGCACCAGAATCCTCCCAACAACCCTGTGAGGGAGTTGTGAGCAAGAGAGAGAAAACCACTGCTCTGAGATTACCTGTTGACCTTAGCAGCTGAAATAAACATTTCTCCCCAGTCCAACTGCAACTTTCTTAAGCCACTGTGATCCTTCTCCCCGCCCTTGCTTCCCCTATACTATTATTTGAAGCTTCACATTGAGTTTTAGTGATAACCTGCCCTTAAACATGGAGGTTCTGTGTATTCCCTGTGATTGCTAACTAAGGGTTTTTCTGAAGTTGTGGACAAACTTACCCACAAAAGTGCCAATGAAAGCGATTCCCAGGGAGAGGTCATTGTACCCATAGGTGTGGGATCCTTCGTTGCGCCAACCCCGTCCTTCATACACATATCCATCTTCACCAATCAGGAAACTGGAAGGAAAGAAGGAAGGAAGCGGGGAGGGGCTGTTTTCAATCATTTTTACAAGCCATTTAGGCTTGTATGTATTTTTCATCCAGCTAGATGGTGACTCCTTGGCTGACCTCAGACCATTAAACAAGATCAGACTTGCTTCATAATTGGATGCGAGATCACCAGAAATTATCAGGTTTGTAGGCTAGACTGCGGAGTTGAGCAAAAATTCCAGGAAGAAAGCAATGGCAATCCCCTTCTGTCTCATTGCTCAAAAAAATTAATAATAATAATAATAATAACAACAACATGGGTGTGCATCTCCATTAAATCACTGGGAGTTTCCCTCAGCTCAAGACAGCCTTTACATTTATGGGGAAGGCAGTTAATCAAGTGGGCTAAAGGAAGAAGTTGAACCATTCCCTCACCTGTACGCAATATCACACCACCCTTTGAGGTTCATGTGGAAGTCTTGGATGTTCTTGACTTCCTTACGGCAGTCGGCGTGAGTCCTGCAGGGGTTGCCAGCTGTATGGATGATGACAACGTACTCAGGCGGGACGTCTCTCAAAGGTTGGGAGCAATTGGCCGGCTTGGCTCCCCATTTCGAGGGGGTGATGAGTTGGAAGCAGCCCGTGGCTGGGGAAATGAAAGAAGTGAGGTCTTGCAGGGGCCAACAAGGGCCCAAATTCAAGGGTGCCCCCTAGACTGCTCTACTACCCAGTCTTGACATTCCATCAGCTGACTTGTTTGGGCCAATCAGGGCTCTCTGGCCTTATAAAGCTCCAAGCCCCAGCGGTCGTTCCCATTCTTGACCATTTTCTCTGATGCCAAGAAATTGCTCTATGTTCTTGAGTCTTCAGTGGGGTAGCGGCCTCCCTCCCTCACCCCATCCCACAGGTTGGTTTGGTTTGGTTCATATTCCTCTGAAATTCAACCTGGTTTTTCTCCCTTGCTTAGCAAGAAAGTCAGTTCCTATCAATTTAAGGTCCAAGATGGTTTGGAAACTGACCTTGGTGGAGGACTGATTTTTGACCAAATTTAGCTCTTTGGCTTGGAGGATTCCAGGACTATTGGCCACAAATGTGTGAATCCCACATGCCATGATCATTGTACATGGTAGCTAGATGATGTACGGAACTTCCTCCTCAGGGGTGGTTGGGGAACGCCATTATACGGAGGACTGTACCACATGCCCCTCTCAATACCTGAACAAGCTTTGGGGCTCACCTTGTGACAGAGAGCATAAAATCAAGAACAATATCTGCAATGTAACCATCTTCTCCTGATGCTGGTAGCCCTGAGGCCTTCTGAAAAGAACAAGATGTTTGGAGGTCAAAATTGGTCAAGTATAGCAAGAGCTTTTTGGTTGTCTGATTAGGAATATATCTTCCATATATAACACCACCTTGTCTGATAAATACTTATTTAACACTAATAGTGGGACAACAAAATATCCAGCTTTCTCTGCTGCCTCCCGAAATCTGTTTAATGGTAGGGTTGGCCTGCTAACTTTTTCATTTGTGGTAATTCTATCAAGATAGAGGGTCTGGAGTATGCTGCCCATTATCTTGGCACCTGGTCAAGTTCTCCTGTCACAATCCAAAGTATAGGCTTCGAACTTCAAGCATCTCATGAATTGAGACCAGGTGAACTGAAGGATCACATCATCATGATTATCAATCTGGACATTAGGTTCCTCTTTGGGACCCTGACTCCAGATGCCCCCACCCAGTAAAATCTAGCAAACGGTGGTAGAGAAGAAAGCTTTGCCAGTGGGGGGAACAAGAATGTGGAGGATCTTCACTCAAGAAGCACCCAGCAAGATGGTGTTCCAGTGCCAATGAAGATGTTTTCCTCCATGGAAGGGTATATCCACCTTCCCCAGATGGCTGAACTCCAACCTCTATTATTTCCAACCATCAAGGTTGATGGTGAAGGTTGATAGGTCCAAGAGGACCACTGAGAAATATCTACAGGCATCAGGTGACCTGGGCCCATTTTTGCCTATCCTGACATACAGTTGTGGATCTTCACCTCTCCAAGAAGAGGCTGTAGAGCTGGAAATAGTTCTAGAAAGGACAACCAAAAAGCTGAGAAAGGTATCAGAGAGAAAATATGGGTTGAAGATTAGGAGACGCTTCTTATTAAATCAGGAAATCTCTCTCTCTCTGGAGATCTTGAAATCTAAGCAGATATCTCATGGAACGGAACTATGCAGAGGTGATCCTGGTTGCCCACCATTGTAACTCAAATTAGTAGCTATGTTGCTCTTTGTTTTCACCCATGAATCGTGACCCTCAAGGCCGACAGGAAGCTGTTTTTATCATGCAGGCAGAAGCAAATAGGCTGGAATAGATAACTCCACAACACCAACCTGATTCAACCTCTCCCGCTCGCATAATACAACAAGCCAGGATAGCAAGGAAGCAGCTGCGTTTTTCCACCTACCTTTGCAGGTCTCTTCTTGCCGAAGGACGTGGCGTTCTACCTCTTCACTTTAAAAGGCCAGCGGTGAAGAATGTGGCCTGTTGAAACAGAGGAGGACACCCTGAGCTGTGATATCAGCAAGGACATGTCGAAATCTTTCCTAGCGCGGGGGCCGAGGTCAAACGCGTTGCCACTAAAAACAGACAGCTTTCTGTTCCCAGAGGTGACTTGTACAAGAGACCCCCTTGGGTCACATGTTTCTCTGTTTCCATCGTGGCAATTAACGCATGACTTATTTTGCACCACCAAACCCATCCCTGGAGTTGTGCAAGGTTTGGAAAAAGTGGAGCGGCGGGGCAGGATTTCTGCACAGAGAAACTTCTGCACACCCACGGGTTGCTGGTTGCCCGAAACACACTACACCCAAAATCCACAAGAGCAAAGCAGAGAGGTCACACTCACCCAACCGGAGCTGGAGATTTTGTATTTTAACTTAGTTCGTTTGGTCTGTAAGTGTAGAGAAACTAATTTTTAAAAAAGCAGGGTATGCTGTTAAAACATGAGACCCGGTAAAATATTCAGATTTCATATATTTATTTATTTAAATTTAAAATTAGCTTACTTTACTTTTTACTTTACTTTTTACTTTACTTTACTTTTTGCAGATCAGCTTGTGTGCTCCTATTCAGCCACAAGAGGGCAGCAGAAACCATAAAATGCAATTTAGTGGGGGGGGGTTCCCCCCTCCCTGGATTAATTTTAACCTTGGTTAGCTTTTCCTCTCAGATTTGGTGGTTTGGTTGTTAGTAGTTATGGTCACAAAATGGGGGAGGTGAAAGGTATCACCAAAGGTCATCTAGTCCAACCCTCTGCAATATGCAGGACAACCTGTTTAACCATCCTCAAGAGGACCAGCCTCTTTTAAAAAGCTCCAGAGATGGAGAACCCACAACCTTATCGTTTTATTTATTCATGCTGGCTGGGGAATTCTGGGAGTCGAAGTCCACCTATCTTAAAGTTGCTAAGTTTGAGAAACACTGGTTTAGGGTTGTGTAGCTTGTGCAAGAGACGGGGGTTATCTCAGGAACTGGGTTGCCGGTATTGTGTGAACATAGCCAACCCACTGATTACCGAACCTGAAAGAGCGTTTTGAGTCATCCAAGCAGCTGGGGATGATGGAATATGTAGTTCAAGGCACCTGGAGACGGCAAAAGTCATTCGTTCCCAGATTCCCAGCCTTCTGCTACTAACCTGGATACAGAGTCTCTGCTCCCCAATTTGTCCCTCTGGCAGCAGTGGACTACACGTCCCATCAGCTCCAGCTAGCTTGAGCCAACCACGATGGGTTGGGCCTGTAGTCCCCAAGCTGGAAGAGGAATTGTCTCCCCTTCTGTATTCCAGCACTCTGACAGCAGATAAGAAGAAGAATTAGGGGAGATAAAGATAATTATGAGGGGTTGTAACCTAAGGTCAAGCTAAATTTACAAGCTTCTGACACTTGGAATTTTTTGCTTCGGTTGGATCATACCCAGGAATGTTGTCCCACTGGACTGAGACCATTTTGAAAAGCTTGCTGAACTGGTTTCTAAAAACAGGAGAAATACACCTTTGGAGAGGTCCCAGTTGGGAGGATTATACAAGAATCCCATCACCGTTCTCAGCAACATCCAAACTTTCCAGGAGAAAGACGCTGCCATGTCCACGGTTCAGAGAAGACCTATCTCCTCCATGAACCCATTTCTCTGAGCTGACCAGAGACAGTGAAATAGAAGCGAAACGCAAAAATGAAGGTCACCCAAGAGAAAAACTTTCTTTGCTTAAAGATAGAACTGACTTCAGCGCTCATCTGCACTACTTTGGGTGACCACTAGAGGTCTCCAGACTAACAGTTGGATGCACCTTAAAGTCTTCTCCAAAGCTAGATCCTGTTCAGAAAGGTAGATACGCTCAACATTTTTCAAGTTCTCTAGGACCTTTGCAGTTATAATGGATGGAGAACCACTTTTCCCATCTCCCCTTATTCTTTTTGCTCCTGTTCCCAAGGGACTGCTGGGAGAGAAACCAGAGAGTTGCACTAACTTTGTGGGTAAGATCCCTAGAGGAATCAGGCTAAACCTTTCAGAATCTGCATTGGTGCAGAAAAATATGTTTCTTTACTAAAAGTTGTGATGGTATGTGGGAATGACCTTGGGACACGGGATTCTAGTTAAGAAAACATGAAGATGGGAAAAGAACATGAGACACAGATTTAGGGCACAGAGAGAAGCAGGGTACATGGGATGGCCTTGGTGGCACCTTGCTGAGGTAGTGGGTGGGCACCTTCTCAGCAAGTGGCCAACTCTAGAGACAGTCTTCCTGCATTCCCAGTTCTCCCTATTCCACGTATCCTTATAACGGGACTGATTGTGCAGAAGCCCAGAAGACCTTGGTCTGATCACTCACCAGACTCCTTGGAACCAGCGGCAGAAGAGCTGAGGTTGGCAGGAGATGCCCACAAGGGTTCAATTCAGCAACATTCCCTCGTTCGTCATGTGGATGGACAGGATCAATTTCAGGGAGGGGGTCGTACCATGGATTTCTGGGGAATGGGAGGTCCTTGATAAAGGGAGGGTGTGAATCCCTCCAAACAATGGAGATGTGGGTCTAAGAACCCCCTTCTGCAAAAACGTTTGAAGGAAACTATTTCTGTGCTGGGTGAATTCACGAACCTAGGTACTGCTGGGACAGGAGAGGGAGAGATTGACCCAAAAACTATTCCAGGGTAAAGATGGGGAGTCAGACGGATAAATGATGCCCTGTTTGCAGGGGCTGAGAGGCACAGACATAGAGATAAGCGTTTCCTTAGCCCCCAGGAGGAGCGTGGGAAGGTGAAGAGGATGAGGCCGGCACCACCCTAAGGAATTCTCAGTGCTTGCTTGCTGGCTTGGGAAGTGTAGATTGAGTCTGGCGAGACTCTGTCTTGCAGGTGGAAGCTAATGAATGCTACAGAACTATGTCTGAACTGTCTCATGGAGTTCTTTGGGCTGAACCTGACAGGGAGGCATTCAACAAAAAGCTTTTCTGGGGTGACGATGGGGGGTTTGATAACGCCCTGTTTGCGGGCACCGAGAGGCACAGGCATTCCTGGGTTTCCCTAGCAGGGGTGTGAATGGGGATGGTGGGGAATTCAGAGGATCGTGTGAAACCGGGGAGCTGGGGCATCTGCGTCGCTTCCACCAATCATCCATGCCAACAAGGGTTTTTTTGTGGAAACACGCAGCAGCCTTTATCCATTCCTGATGCTATGAAGGAGCTAACTGGGTTTGGACCTGGTTCAAGTCAGAGGGGGGACCACCAGGGAATGTAATCTCTCCCAGAGGGGGAAGTTGAAAAAACGAAGGGGGATTTCAGTAAACGTTCCAGTCAATCCATCCATCTCAGACGCTCAACGCAGAAAGATGGAAGAGACCCCTTAAGCCCATCCTAGTGCTCCATGATCCTCCCCACCAATTCAACTTTGAAGAACATGACAGGGCAACCATCTGAGGAACACCAAATTCTTTATTGTGGCCCCCAGTACAGAGCCCAGAAGCCTTGAGGGGGACCCATTTTTAGATTAGGGAGGAGAAGTATCTGCAACATCTTGGCCTCCCACTGCAGGCTCAGTGGCCATTTTAGATGTTATCGTGGGTGTTACCTAAGACCCGGGAGATGAGAATCAGAAATTCTTGAAAAGACACTTGAGCATCCTGATCCTGGTCCAGTTCCTTAAAGATACAGTCAATGGCATCTGGGTTCTTCTGGCTCTGTGAAACGAAAGCAAAGGATTCTTTTAACAGTTTTTGCAAGGCGATAGGCCTGGAAAACCAGCTCCTTAGAGGAGAGTTGCTGGGACATCATGGAAAGGCCACAGAAAGAAAGACCAAGGGGATATTCAGATGTAATTCTTTGGAGATGGGGGAAGATTGGGGTCAACAAGAATCGATGGGAAGTCCTTTGGATCTTCAAAGGAGCTCCCATAGAGAGTCCTGGCTTTGGAGGACAACCATCCAAAACAGGAGCTGGTGAATGGTGCTCACTCCGTCCTACGCAGTCTCCTAAGAATTCCGAAATTCCATTTTCTCAACATTTAAATGACCCCACTCTCATCAGATGGCCGATCCAGGCTGCTGATCAGATCTGGCTGTTTCCCTCGATCTGCTTCCCATGGCATTTAAAACCATCAGGTGGGACCACCACAGCCTTCTGCTTTTCTGCGTCTGTTGGCTTTCTACCCATTTTGCTCCGTTTCGCCTCTGATTTTGGAAGCCATCAAAGGGTTCCACAGAGGGACCGGCTGCAGTACTCTCGGCGGCCACTGGAGGCCTCTGCTCCAAAGCGCCACCCTCTGGAAAGAGCAGAAGATCTCTGGTGAAGCTCCTCCTGATGCCCTCAACTTCTTGCTACGCTCTCCAGGACCTTCACGCTTATCAGTGGTGGAGACCCCTT